TTGTATACTATTAATAGGAGAGAGTCTTATCTGCATATTTCTCAGCCTTTGTCTCCTATCCTCAATTGCAACTGGCAATCTGACACCCAACACTTGCTCATGTTCATGATGTCTCTTTATTGGTGCCTTTTTTGTCATTCTGTAACAGATTCTTTATTGTTCACGTGTTTTTGTTAGCAAGCTTCCTTCCCACCCATCACTGATAAGACTGGTAGCAATTGCCAGATGCAGCAGATAAAATAGACCCCACAGACCCTGGTTAAAACAGTCACATGAAGTGTCAGCTGGCTAAACCGTGCGAGTAAAGAGGCAATCTGTGTTCTGTCTTGGCATATATTTGACATGGAATTTGAGTTTTATGTGGTCCAGAAACTTTTCCATGCCCTTTTTCCCAGCTTACCTGCAGCCCTGAGCTAACTTGCAGTCTTTTGCATGAGGCTGCTTCTGCGTACGGTATGATCTAATCTGATTTCTGCATCTTACAGGTGTTTTGGGTTACTCTTATAGCAGTTTGGAATTAGAATCTTACCTAGCTGTCTTTTACTTATTTGGAGGATTTAGCCCTAAAGGAACACACCAAGGTGGTGTGATGTTGTGCAGTGTGGTATAACTCCTATTCTAGTTTAGAAATGGTTCCCAATGCACTGAGAACATACTGGGTATTTTTATTGTATAAGTTGTTTAATTTTTAGGGAGACTGAAATGCTTTGTGTTCATTCAAAGCAGGAAGCAAGGCAGTGAAGATCATCTGAAGTGCAATGATTTGCCAAACGTGGGAGAGGAAGTTCTTTCATGAAAAACAGCCTCGTGGTTACAATGAGCAACTTTGTCCACGGCACCTGACACAACGTGCACCTGAGACTGGGAGACGTAACCACACCTAAGCCAAATGAAGCATGACATAGCAGCGGCCCAGTATAATGCTGAGTGTCAACTTTACATAGCAGCATGTGAGAAATCAGACTACAGCACATGTCACAAACATTGAACATCTGAGTGTTAAAAAAGTCACCTCAATGAAGCGCAGTGGATTTCTTGTGTGAAATGTGTTGGCTGACATCAGAAAGGTGAGCTGATGTGAAGGACAGTGAAAGGGTTCACAAACGGCAAACCAGTGCAGTTATAACAGCTTTTAAGTGGTGTGAATGCCAGCTATTCAGAGACTAATCCCCATGTTACATGGGTATGTTACACCCCTAGATACAAGGTGGGCATGTGTAAGTGTGGAGCTTTTGCAAAGTGGCAGACACGGCAGTGAATTTAGAATTATGCACTTGGACTGTTCACGACGTACCAGAAATGTTGTTGCATCTGTTTCTTGATTCCTCTGAATTGAAACATTTTTAACTGCATGGAAACGAAGCAAAAAAACACCTCCTCAGCTGCTTTAACAAAGCCTGCCTCTGTGAGTAAAGTTTTATCAGTTTAACTAAGAGCATCTTCAGGAAGTTGGTAAACTAATGCTAAATACAGTACTTGAAGACACTGCTTTCCTTTCAGGTCTTGCTGTTGGCATGACTAGCTGAACGCATGTTGGGCAGAGTGTTCGGAAGGTAAATGCATCTAAGGGCTTACAGTCTGGATGGCACTTTCCTACTGCAGCGGGCACCTGAGTGAAAGTTTGTTGCTGCAGTAGCTGAGCTCTTTCTCTGAATGGCAAAAGAAGCACTAACAAAAGTAGATTTCTGAATCTTTTACTTGATCTAGAATATATAGTGTAACATAATTCAGGGTAAAATCCTTCACTTCCATGTACATTACATGGTTTAATACAAGTTAAAATATAATACAATTTATGCTATTTTTAAAGTATCTGACTAGATGTAATGCTCCTTTAGGATTTCAGCTCTTCCTGAAGTACTTAGATTAGCAGGTATCTTACAAAGCAGCATTTTTTCCCTCCAAATTCCTTATTCTGAGGGCCGTGCTGCGTTTTCCTGCTGGCTAATAGCCAATAGTTTGTACAGCCCTGTGAGGTAAAGGCTCATTAGCTGACCTCGGTACATTCAGTGAATAACTAGTTTAGGATTACTCCTTGCTATGAGCACTTTCATCTTTGCTCCGGTTGTTTTGCAATTATTTTGTGGTGTTGGTAAAATCTAAATAGCAAGCAGTGGTATAGAGCAAACTTCCCGAGCGGGAATCCTCTGTGATGGAGTAAGGCAGGAGAGCTACGGTAACACCAGAGTGGAGAAGAAGCAGGTTTGAGATTCTGTATCTGACTGAAAGAAGGATCAAGGCAGGTAGGATGGTCTTGTGGATACACGACAGCAGTGGGAGTGCAGAGAGCTGCTGTGTCTTCTCAGCCCTGCCACTGGCTTGTGGAGTGACTGAGCGTAAGTCGCCTCGGTTGCAAGGCAGATGTGGAACAGAGAGGATTCCTTGGAAAGGGCTTGCGAGGCTGAATTCCTTGTGCTCTGATGGAAGGGGTTGTCTGATTAGTAATATCCCCCCACCAACCTACAGCAAGGCAGTCAGCCAGAGCCATTACGACATGGATGGTTGCTTTCCTGCCCGCCTCTGAAATATTAGTTCTTGGATGCTTCACGAGGCAGAGTGCTGGAGTGGTTGGCCCCTCTCCATGGTAGAGCAGATCTCATTGCCCTGGAATGACACAGCTGTGCTTTTTTAGGAAAGGTCCCAAGTCATATAGTTAGATACAGTCCTATCCCAGTTCACTGAGGCACCTCTACTCTCATCCTCACAAAACTGATGATGTGAAATACAGAAGAGTCACAGCTTCCATGAACGGGTCAGGTTTTGGGAGCAGAATCATTGGAGGTCGAGCAGTGGAAAGGAGACAGGGCTCATCCTGTAACTTTATCGGAGGCCACGACCTGCCATGACTCCACTGCTTTGCTTTTTAATACCAAGGAGAATTAGGCAATTGCAGGCTGCAAACCTTCTTCCTCCCCACAAAATTTCCTTTTTTCCTTCATGGGAATACTCACAGATCTGGAGCTGCTGACCAGGTCTGGCTGCTCCTAGATGGGTGTTTTCCAAAAATGTGTCTTACTATCTAAAGTTCTCTGTAACTGTTCTTGTTGACATTGTGCACAGAAGTACATTCTTGTTAAAGATCCATGAGCAGTGAATATATTCAGTGCCAAATCTCTGCACTTGCCTCTTGCTGTTAAAGCTTAATGACAGAGCTGGGGCAATGGCATAAGAGCGCAGTGTGGGTAGTGATGCAGCAGTAAACATGTGCTCAAGGACAGTGGTGAGGCTCCTGAGGTTCGGTGCAGCACAGCAACTTGTGGACAAGGTGCCCTTTGCTTCCTCAACCAACCCCCCAAACGAGTTTTCTGCAGGAGCCAGTTCCATGCGTGAACCTCTGCTGAGCACGCTCTCCTGTTTTAACCTCGGCTTTCCTTTTTGGTCAGGTGTATTGACAATACAAAACTCTGAAGTGTCTGAAGCGTGAGGAAGATGTGTTCGCTAAATGCATGGCCTGTTAGAGTGACTATATACAAACCTGTTCAGCTCTGCGCTTGCTGTCCTTTGCCAGTGAAGCAATCTCTCTCTCTCTCTCTCTCTCTCTCTCTTTTTTCATGTAGTGCAGTAAGCCTTTCTCCTGTGCCTTTTGAAATAGCTGGTTTCCCACACCCCCTTCTTCAAATAAGCTTCCCACTGACGTAAGTTGTCCCTGAGTGCAAGGCCAGATGGCTCTGAAATTGCAAAGGGACAACTTGGCCTTTTGGCTTTGCTAGCTTATTCCCCCGCTGGTGCCCTGTTATCTACTAGATAATCAGTCTTGTGGGTTTTCAAAGTTCCCTGCATTGTCACTGACTTTTATACTGTTTTGTTTAATGCCCAAGGCTTGTGTTTTATTCCCACCCCCTTTTTACTATGCATTTTACTTTATCAGGTGTATCAAGTTTAAATACTGTGTATTTATCACTTTAAATTATATTAACTAACTAAAAAAGAAAAAAAACCTCTAGATGGTATTCCACGACTGTTTAAACTTCTCTGTACAAGTGGAAATAAATGGCTTGCAAAAGTAAACCCAGGGGTAGCTGGTTTATCACGAGCTCTTATTCTGCAGGAGCAAGAGAGGAAGGGACCACAGGAACTGTGCAATGCTGACCAGATCTTTATCATTCTGCTAAAGGAGATGTACAGTCACCAGAGTTGGGGTCAGGAAGAGACCAATATACTCTTGTCTGTAGGGCCAGCAGTGGTAGGGAGCATCAAAGAAGACCAGCTGCCAGGCTTCTGAGGCATTTGAGCCGATGGGTATGGATGGGGGAACCTGAATATGGACCAGCTCAGAGTTTATTGTACAACTGAGCTAGATGCCTTGTTAGATCAAACCATGACTGGTCTCTATGGCACTTGTTTCAAGCCTGCAGTACCAGGAGTATCTTTCAGGAAGCTCTTTCTACTGCCATGGTGTTTGGCCTTTCTCCATTCTGGCAGGTGGTGGTACCAGAGGCACAAACACCAGGTTCTGGGTAGCAGGCGATAGCCTGGCACTGTGAAAACCCAAGGGCTGTAGAGCAGTGTTCAGTGAGGAAGTGCAGCCCTTGAGACTGCCAATCAGCACTTGCACCTGTGTCCGCTAGCAGAGGTGTTCTGGGGCACTTTGGGCTCAGTACTTATCTCTGCACTGTGCCAGGAAGGGAGTGAAGAACAAAAGCAGGATGTAATTCATGGCACAGACAATGCTCATCTATCTCAGCTTGGTGGAGGTACAAAGCCTGTCCTGGAAGGATCAGGGATCCTCCCTCCAATGCCCTTGACCACAGGCTGGTTGAGCTGACCGTGCAGGTCAACCTGGAACACAGCAGATGCTCACAGCAGGGGCAGGAAGAGCCTCGAGTGGTTTGGCTTTGAACCAATTCCAGCTGCCTAGAACACAGTAGGGCTGCAAAAGGATGTCATCTGCACATACTAGGTCCAGCCTGTTGCCCCTGAAAGCTCCCCATGAGCCTGCACCAACCCATTCACTCTAGGCTCAGGTGCACTACTGGATTTGAGAAGAAAAAAAAAAAAAAAATGACATATTGCCTTTCACATATACCCACAGTGCCAGCAGTCACCCTCAGGCCAGCTCACAGGGTGAGGCCTTGGCATGTGGAAAGCCTGTGGCTTGGGCAGCTCCACTTCTCAAAATTTCCTTTCCCTTAAAAAAAAAAAAAAAAAAAAGGAAGAGTTGTCAGCTTCTGGCAGAGACAGGGCTCAAGTGCAGCACAAGGCTTCGAGACAGGCAGTGCCGACTCAGCCTCAGGCACTAACCTCTCCCAACAGCCAGGGACCTGTTTCCAGCTGCAGGATGTAAAGCCACTGACAAGGACAGTTGGAACCATCTTCCCCATCCACCCTAGCAGCAGGAGGAGGAGGAGGAGGAGGAGGAGGAGAGTGACTCCAACAGCGTTACCATCTGCTAGCAGCAGCACTGTAGAGAGCCTCAGCCACCGACAGGAATCCTACCAAGAAAAAGTGGAGTGAAGGAGGAAGTTTGAAATGGCTTTATTCACTGTTCAGAGGACTAAACTTACAGTGGAAAACAAAACCCAAGGCACTTGCTGAATGTATGTCCATCGTGTGCTCTTGAAGGAGAGGCACATTACCGCCTTCCAGCATGGCTCAGAGCAGTTCTCACACAGCAATTCACAGCTTCAGATGCGTTTCCTTTATTGCAAAAACTGAATTTGAATAAATGGACCAGAAAGAGTGGTCAGCCACTCAACACCGTGCAGGGCCTCAGCTTCTGGGGCTGCCGCAGGTCCGACAGGGTGGCAGTGGGCCGGGGAGGATTAGCTGACTGACTTGCCCTCACCCAAAAGGAAGACAAGTATGGGACAGGAAGATGTGGCTCAGTGCTCTCCCAAAGTGAAGAGCAATGCTGTAAGGAGCTCACACAATCCAAGGGATGTCTCTTCTGTGAGCAAGGCATTTTTCTGTACCCCTTCTTCCACTCACAGGTAGCCCTACAGGAAGGCAACCAGCATTTCCACCAGGTCACAGCCTAGGAGTTGCCCCCGTGCAGCATAGCTTCCTCCTCCCAGGCCACCCAGTGCTGCTATGCCCTGCCCTTCAGAGTGCTCCGGGTTGAGATGAAAAGGGAAGAGATGAGCTGGCAACTGGGGCATGGATATAGCCAGTAGTATACTTAAATACTAGGAATGCACCGGGCTTCCATGGGGGGCAAAAAAAGGCAAATCCTATAGCTTGATCTTTGCTTCTGATACCATGAACAAAACTCCAAAACACCAGCAACCCCAAGTTTCCCTTTGGCTTCTGCTGTGCTGCATCCGCATAGCAAGAAAGTCTCTTGTCCCAAGGAGAGAACCTGCAGCATCTCTTCATTGTCCACATGTGACGTGGGGCACTAGTCGCAGCGGTGCTTCGCATATGGGTGTTAATGCTGCAGCTCCAAGGATGTCACGGCTGCGTCCCATAGGTGGAGTTGCCTCCCTTGAAGGGCAGAAGTTCAGACATTAGATGCTACTCACAGTGAAGTCCAGAAGCTAGTGCAGAGCAACTACAGCAAACCCACCTCCTCTCTGGAGCCCAGGACTGGAAGCTTATGCCATGTACTTGGTCAGGCCAGACAGGAGATACCATCTTACCAGAGAGCTGCCCCACTGCTTTTGTTGCAAGAGTTCAGCTCAAATCCTTGGCCTTTCCCACCACATCTTACAATTACAGGGCAGGATGTCTGCAGGGGGACAACAGGGCAGATAGCGAGGCAAGGGCCAGAGTCCTAGGAACCTTGTTAGAGAGTCAAGTGCCATGTCTACATCCCAGGGTAGTCTGATAGCAGCAGCCAAATCTGAGACCTCTCTGACCTGTCTGTCCCCAGCAGGAAGTGCCGATGGCTTTCAGTCATTCAAGCTCTGTTCTCCAGTGCAAAGCAGCTGAGGCAAGGAGACAAGAGAAGTGCCAGGTGCAGCAGGGGCAGGGTGTCATTTCTTGTACATCTGCACTGCCCCCACACCAGGAACAAGATCACGCTTCTTGGCACGTGCCATGTTTGTTCCTATCTGTTCCTTCCTCTGCAGAATGTGCCTGCCACAAACCACCATGCAAAACCTCACGTGTACAATCTGCGCTGTGCTAACTTGAGGCCTTGAGCTTCAGCTAGTCACCTCCACAGTCTTGGAGGAAGGCAAGTTTGGCCACAAAAAAAGTGCACCCTCTACCATGTGCCGAGGGAGCCAGGCTGCTTACCAGTTCATAGTCCTCCACATATTTGTACTTCTTCTCTCTGTAGAAATGTCTTCTCTTCATAAAATACAGGACAATGAAGTCACACAGGACTGTTGCCTACAGAAGATCAAAAAGAGACAGCTGAAGGCCCTGTACTTCCAAGTGAACAGATACCAAGACAGATGCCAGTCTGTAGGCAGACGCTAGAACTTACCACTCCCAGCAGTGCCAAACCAGAGCCAATGTTAATCATTGTAGGGATGATGTCAAATTTTCCTGCCTGAGAGAGAAAGTTACAAGTGAGAATGGTTTTGCTGGACCTGTTGCAGTGCTCCGAAGCCCTGGGATTTCAAATGGAGAGAGGTACCTTTCCAAACACTATGACATCAAAGCGGATGCCATACGCCTTGATGAGGGTCCGTGCCTCGAGGCCGCTTGTGTCCCTGTAGTACTTTGCAAATCTGCAGAGCAAATTGGTTCAAAAGCTTAGTGTGGAGGTTGCCATCTAGAGCCCCACAATATCCAAGCCTATTGCCAGCCCAGCATACCCCAACCCACATTGAAAACTGGTTTCTCACTGAGAAGACCAAGAAACAGATGAGTTTCATTTAGCTATGTGCTTACAGACAGTGTGGTCAGAGATTATGCACAACATGCAGGCTACACCAAGGGCCCTACAGAAGTTGTGTAGCCACTAGGAGAGTTGAGCCAGTTTCTAAAGCACATGAAAGGGGAGGTGGGAAAAACCCAGGAGTCCCTGTTAGTCCCTCCTGCCTGGCCTAATTTCACCAGCAAAAAGACCTTTATTACTGTCCTGAACCAGTTTGTCGTGCAGAGCAGGTCAGATCCCTGGTTTTGCTCCGCCTAATGGAAATTTAGTGATAAGGTCAGTGAGATTTTAGCCAAGGTTTCTAGCAAAGCTCTGCCAGGCTAAGCAGTCTGCTGGGAGCAGAGAGGAGTCTGCAGGTGTGCGACTTGCCACCAGAGGGAGCAGCCAGGGATGCAATGAACATGGCTGCGGTAGTCACTCCAAAAGCAGCATTTGGTAGGCACACAGAGGGCATCCCTGTCCTTTGTTCAGTTCAGCACAACATGCATGCACGTACTTTACAGGGAAGCAGAGGCGATGAGAGCCGACTTACTGTGTCCCACGATCTGCAGGGTCAAGAGGAAAAAAAAAATCGCAGAAAGGATGGAAGAGAAGAGGAGAGAGCGCTGTTGGGCTGCACGATTCTTCCGTAACAAGCATGCACATTTAAGGGTCATGGATCACTTGGTACTTGCTAAGTTTACCAGGCGGTTGCACCAGAGTTACACCAGCCTGTTTGATCAGAGCAGGCTGGTCCAGTACATTTTTACGAGGCCCGATTATTGTCTACACCTGCTTCTTGGCTTCTGCTGAAGAAATTTTGCCTGCTAGCTTGCCATAGCAGAGCAGCCTCCCCCAACGTACAGCCAAGCACTCTGCAGGCATCTTGTTCAAACCTAAAAGATTTTCCTCCCTCCTGATGGTGCCCTAGTCCTTGGCCACTAGTGTGACACCGCCCGAGAGCCGTATGAGATTCAAGCTCTCCAAAGCACCCTCCGCACAAGCAGAACAGTTTTGCTCTCTTATGGAGAAGGCCCCAAGCAATGCAGAGGTAATGTTGCTACAGCACCAACACACCCCAGAAGCAAAACTAGCTCAACCAGCACAGACACACAGTCTACCATAGATCTGGCTGGACATGGACAACTCCACGCACAGCTGAAGGACTCTGTTCATCTGGTCAGCTACTTCTCCTTCCACCCCCATGCACGCTAGAAGAATTCCCCCTTCTCCCAAATTCTCTCACCCCATTTGCATAGGTCTGGGAACTCCAGCTCCTGCCAAAGCAGCCTGGGCTGATGCCCCAGACATGTAGGCTGCACTATTACAGACAGGATTCGGTATTACACTGAGCAGGCTCAGCTATGGAGGTCAATACAGCAGTTTACACCAACTGTTCCGCTGCAGGAAAAAAACAACAGAGGAATATTCCCAGTAGCTAGACCAGCGAGTCTCAGGCAGGGTGTCACCGTGGGAGAGAGAATCTGCTCCTCCTTCCTACCCCCTCTGCAAGCAGGTGAGCACTGTAATAAATTAGCTGCTGCAATGGAGCACTGCTCGAGGCACCCTGTAGAACCGCTGTGAATCAAGGCTAAAGTTGAGAGTTGCTGAACTAGACCCTACCGGCCAGGCACTATCTGGGCCAGGTCAGCATCATGGAACTGGGAGCCCAGAATGAGCTACAATGATGTCCTGGCCTCCGTTACCTGAAGTTGTAGCCTGGGGAGACGGTGTATTTGGAACTCTTGTCGTCAAGGCGACGGAAGCTGTATCTCGGCACGCAGAGAGAAGCCGCTTTGTCAAGGTCGCAGTTCCACTTGATCTGCAGCCCCATAACGCCACCCTGCAGAGCCCAGAGAGAGGAGCTCAGACAGGACTCCTTAAAGCTCTAGCCAGGCAGCCAAAGGGCCTTCCGGATGCTGGGCCACTGGTTTGCAAACCGGATTCCTGCCCTCAGTGTGAGCACATCACCATTCACCTCTGCCTCGCTGCAGCTTCCCCACCGAAGATGCCAACTTCAGTGCCAGTGAGGAGCTTTTCTCTCGCCCCTGACCTGGCTGTCTCTGCCTACAGAGTGGCAAAGCATCAGCTCGTCCCAATTGATCAGCAACCCAGGACCCACTGCAAGAACCAACCTAAACCGTGCTGCTCTTTCCCAGGCTACACTAGACATAGGAGCTTTGCTCCCATCACACGAACCCTTGCCCTGGGCAGTAAGAGCCATAGTGCCGTGGGCTGGGCTTCACTCCTGCCACTGCATGGCACCTTCCTGCACCAGGTCCCCCATGAGAAGCATGCAGGATACAGAAGCAGCATGGTTAGGTATTTGCCAAGTCAAGTTTACACCTCCCCAGAGCCAGTACACCTGTAGCAGCAGCTGCATTGCATATTCTGTGGCTGCCTGCATGCAGCAAGCAAGTTCAAGTACCTGCCTCCCCGTGTCGAGTAGGGTCCCATCAAGTGAGGGTCCCAACACCCACCTCCACAGCCATCTCCTGGAAGTTCTGTCCTGCAGCCTCCATTATCTTTTGGATCCGGAATATCGGGCAGAAGGGATCTGTTTGAGAGTCATAGATACAGCCCTTCAGGTACGTGGAATTGATGCTAGGGAGAATATTTCGCCTGGAGGAACATAGGAAGACAGCACTGGGTTAGAGGTGTCTGCATGTCATCTTTCTTGTCCCAGTCCTGCCCCACGGCTCGTGGGCAGCAGAGAATTAGCCCAGTCCGTCTAGTTAATACCCTCATGCACTACTTACGTGGCAAAGTCGAACTTGGGATACCAGATGTTGTTCTTCACTAAAATGGTGAAGTTCTCAGCATCCTTTAGGAAAGCTGGCCTATGAAACAACGGAGAGGCTGAGTACAGTGGCTTCCACTTCTATACAGCATCTTGATATCATCTCAAAGTGCTTTACAAAGACAGTCATGCAAAATCCTTATATGGAAAGGAAGTTGCATGCTTCTTAGCGACACAGACAGCTCTTATGACAATGCATAATGGTATAAGCCTACACAGAGCAAAGCTCCAAAGCAGCAACATTAGGAAGCAGGCATCAGGGGGACTGGGACTCACTCCCAGTTAACTTTGGTAAGTGGTAGAACAGCTGCATCTAGCCCTCTGTTGTGGCAGGGTAGGGCACACTCTGCTAGGAAGTGTGCGTTAGACCATGTCCAGCCCAGATCTGGAGAGTGGTCAGCATGCAGCTGTGGACCACTGGGCTGGGAGTAAGCTTCAGCCTCTGCTTCCCACATTACCACTAATGTGGATGCAGCCCCTGTTGCCGTCCTGTAGATTATACCTTCCCCACAGCCACGCACATGGCACTGAAGGAAAGCAGTGTTTACTTGAGAGCTCTCTAGAGGAGGCAGGAAATGTTTCCTTCCCCACCCCCCCTTCACCACCTCCATTTTGGTTCCTGTTTACAATATCAGCACCACCAGTACAGTCAAGACCCTCTTTCTTGAGCCCTTCCAGTTGATCCATGCGTTAACAGTCAGCATCTCATGGAGACCTTCCCTCCTCCTTGTGATTGTCCACATCACCAACTCTCCCCTCAGGGCAGGGACACCAATCCTGTGGCAGTCAAACACACAGCAGTCACCTGGGTACATTCATATCATCCTCCACAGGACACCATGCATAGATCTCGCAGGTTTTGATGGAGCCGTTGTACTTAATGCAGTTCCCAGTCTGGACTCCTGGAAGGACACGAGAAAGAAGATACTCGCTGTGTATCCAAAGTAAACTGGCAAGAGCTGTGCATCCTTCTGCAAGGCTCTTGCAGGGACGAGCAGCCCAGCCTAGGTGTAGGGCAGAGGGCAGCAAGAGTCCCCCTCCAATGTTAGGGAAGGTGGCACAGTGGGGCCAGTGTTAGTCCTCCCCTACAAAACCTACAGGAAGACAAGCAGGAAGACTGGCTTCTTCACTGCCTGTGAAGGGTGGAGTGACTCAACAGCAGTGCCACCCATCTGCATCTCACAGCATCTCTCTAGCTAGTGCTCGGTTCCTCTTTGCTTTAGGGCGTGAGGACACTCAGGCACATGCATGCTTCCAGTGGACCCTGCTGGCCAACAGATGCTTCTGTCAAGCATATCAAACATCGTGGGCCACTTGAATGACTTTGTTTCCTGCAAGGTAACTAGCTTTGCAGGTACATCTCTCTACTTCATGTTGTTAATGCCTTGGCAAAGTAGATACAGCAGAGTTTAACCTTTTGGGCTCCCTTTGAAAGAGCACAGGTGTTTCTCTTAAAGGGTGCACTTTGCAGAGTAAGAGCAGCGGTAACTTGATGAAACCGTGTTCCTATCCTACTAGAAACCCACACAACCTACACTGAAGAAGAGGGAAGTGTAGGTCATTTCCTACCGTTGCTATGAGTGCCTACATATCCTGCACGGCAGTCCTCTTCAGACTTGCACACAGTTTTGTTATCTGGAAGCTAAAGAGGAAGAGCTGTTACTATAAAGCCACGCAGTTCTGCTTGCTCTCTATGCACGTAGCCACAAGTTACCCCACCCAGTTATTAGACTCTTCCAGGATAAATAGGCCGGAAGGAACCTCAGGTGGTCATCTAGTCCAGCCCCTGCTCAAAGCAGGATCATCCCCATCTAAGCCATCCCAGACAAAAGCCTGGACATGCTTGGATGTAGGCCAGACAATAAGAGAGGTTCAAGAAGCTCTTTAACTAATCTATTCCATTGTGGACTGATGTACCCTCCTTGTTACCACAGCACTTTCTGTTCCCCATTTTGCACATGTATCCTTGATGATTCTGTCCCGTGTGCTTTGCACATGTCCTTACTGGATTTCATCCAATCTATTTCAGACCATTTGTTCCAATTTATCAAGATACATGCTGCATCCTCAATTCTATCCTCCAAAATCATTGCCACCCTGTGAAACCCCTAACCCTATTCCTAGAGTGAGAGGCAGCATAAGAAATAGGAAAGTGGGTACTGTGCATGTAAAGTCAGCTTGCTTGGAGGCTGGGATGTGTAAAGCAACACCTGAGGACATATAAGCCCAGCTCCAGGGCAGAGCCGTCGGTCAGGCTGTGGCAGTACAGTGGAGAGGAGCTCCCTGGAGAGCGGCAGAGGCTATGCTACAAAACAGCGAGCAGGCCCAGCAGGGCTGTAGCTGGGAAAGCCTGCTGGGATTGGAGTAGAGATCTGTGGGAACGGGGGTTCTGGGGAAAAGGCCCCAGCTGAAGTGGATTGTGTTTGGGTTTGCGCTGCTTCTAACAAGGGTGACACCCAGGTGTAGGAGTCCTGCCACAGGCAGGAGGCAGCTAGAGAGGGGAGATGGAAAGCACTGGGGGAGCGCATTGTCCGTTTGTGGGTTGGTTTGGGCTGGAGAGCCCTGCAGAGCAGAGGAGGGGGCACCGAGCCCTGCAACACCCGGAGAGGCTGGTACAAAGTGATAAGCCCAAGGGGGTGATTGGATGGACAAGACTGAGAATGGTTTGAGAGAGGTCCAGCAACACTGTCGCTCTGCAGGGGTGGCCCAGCAATATGAATAATGAATGGGACACCCAGGATTGGTACCTGACTGAGCTGAGAGCCTGTTCTCATGTATTTGGTAACAGCAAGATGTGGCAGGTGGGAACTGTCAGGAGGACAAACAGGTAAAAGCCAACTGCCAGGAGGTGACAGACCCTTCCCGGGCACGGCTGGCCCTGTTACACACCCCGCCCGGGTGGACATCATCTGCCAGTTTATTAGCATAGACTCAATTCCATCCTTCAAGTCAATGAAGAGCCTGAACTGTACTAGACCCAGGAAGGCCTTGGGCAAATTTGTTCAAAGTCTCTTCCCAGGTAGACCCCGACAACCGCCCTTTGACAAGAGTTACACATCGCACCAAAACCGTTAGCGATGAGGCTGACCGAGATTGTACCTACCTCGGGACAGGAACCTTGCGTTTGATTCAGTGTCATGATCATGTTTGTCATGATGAAGACGGTGTTCTCTTCCTGCACATACAAGGCAAGCAGTGAGATGTAAGACAGAGGGGAATGGCACTCTGGAAAACAAGCAGAGAGCTCTACTTTGGGCAGAAGGGATGCACCATTTCTGAAGCAGGC